CTGGGACTAGACTTTCCTCCAAGTCCAAATACTCTGAAAAAGAGTTGAACCAAAGCCCACCTGGGAGGACTCTTCCTGCCACATGGGGCCCCTACATTTGGGAAGACTATTCATGGCAAACTAGACCTGATCAGACCAGCTTGGCATTTTGACATCTCACGCACACGTTACCTCAGTTGGTCTTCCCAATAACCTTAAGAGGCAAGTGTATTGAGCCATTTTACAGATAAGGAAATTGAGGCTTAGGGAAGTTAAGTAACTTGCCTAGTGCCTCGCAGCCATCAGATTTTAGAGCCAGCCTGAACCCAAACTCTAGGTGCTTCACAGCTACTGTCCAGCACATGTACTTTAAATTGGTGGGGAAATGGGCTGCTGAAGGAACGTAGCCAGCCCAGGAATGGACCTTCTTTCTGTGTCCCTTCGTGCTGTAGAACATGCAGTGCATGGGGTCACATTTTGGCAAAATGAGCTTCAGTGACAAATTAGGCTGAAGGGCATGTATTTGAGGTTCATGCTAGTTAGATATAGATAGATATAGATATAGATATAGATATAGATATAGATATAGATATAGATATAGATATAGATATATTTATGACCCGGTCTCCACCTGGTGCTCTACATATAATAATGGAGGCTGTGTAGTAAAATAAATAGCAGTTCCTTCTTGCTGTCTGGGGGAAACCAGCTACCATGTCATGAAGGTACTTAGTAGCGTCTGCAAAAGCCCATGTTGCAAGGAACTGAGGCCTCCTGCAGACAGCCAGACAGCCAGATGAGTGCACCATCCAAAAAGTGGAGCCCCAGTCAAGGCTTCAGATGCCAAAGCCACCGCTGACATCCTGACTGCAAATACACGAGAGCCCTTGAACCAGAGACACCCCACTAAGCCACTCTCAAATCCATGCACCTCAGAAACTGAAATAACAAACGTTTGGGGTTGTCAGCCACTTAATCACAGGGGTAGTTGTGACACAGCCGTGGACAGCTAATGCACTGCCCGGGAGCCCTCTGCTGTGCTGCCTTCTGATGACACTCAGCTCTGCAGAGGGCTTGAACTTGGGCTGAGAGAGGCCTGCCATGGTCCTTAATCCATATAATTTATGGAACATTTAAAGCATATACTCAGGCGTCAACCTCTGGAAATTCCTAGGTCTGGGATGGGGTCCAAGCATCTGTATTTAGTTAAATGATTCAAAACAAAAACCAAAACCTATTCAGGGGTGTCTGAAGAATATTTTCGATTGAGAGCTTTTTCTGCCCCCCCCACCTTTTTTTTTGGACTATAAAAGGCCACAGGCCTATGGTGTCCTCTGTGTTCTTTCTTTGAGACTTTGAGGCTGCTTGGAGGAGTTCGATCCCCTTTTGGTGTGTCCTCCTCAGCCACTGGGAGCCCTGGCAACCAACCAAGCTCAAGGCTTCTTATGAACCCATAGAGCAGCACTTCCTGAAACTTGAATTGCATCAGATATACCTGGAGGGTGATTCCTGAGCCCCACCCCCAGAATTCCTAACTCTGTGGCTCCAGGGTGGGAACTGAGAATTTGCTTTTCTAGTAAGTTCCCCCGCTGCTGCTGCTGCTGCTGCTGCTGCTGATCTGCCGCACTTTGAGAACCACCACGAGAAAAGCACAGGACCTGCTACTTTGCCCCAGAAATAGTCCAAGATCCTCCCTGTACTTCAGGCAACAACAACAATTGAAGACAAACAAAAACTCCTAGGTTTTGCCTGAGATAAAAGTAATCCACGGTGATAGATATCCGGATAGTGGTGATATTGGGGGGGGACAATAATTGGAAAGGGAGCACCTGTAATGTTCTGTTTCTTGATCTGAGTGGCGGTTACACAAAGGCATTCCCTCTACAAAGGTACTTTTGAGCCGTGCACTGCAATTTGTACACATTTCTGTCTACATTATACTTAAAAAGTTTACTTAAAAATTAATGATGATAAATGCTGTCAAAGCCTGGGGAAAACAGGCCTCCGCATCATTAGCCTGTACCTTTGTTTACAAGTCAGCTTTCCTCCGGGGGCATGCCAACAACCCAACAAAGAAGATATTCTTGGTTTCCTTTCTTTTTCGCTGGTATCATTTGTATATGTGTGTGTGATACCTGGGGAGTGGCGGCTTCCCAAGCCATCATTTGTTTAAAAACAAATCCAGGTCTTCAAAAGGAAATACTGCAAATGAAATACTGGCAGGTTTTAAATTTCGAGAATAACAGATCATGTTGGAATAATTTGCAAAGCACATTGAGGGGCACGCTGGCTGGCTTAGTTGCTGGAGCGTGCGACTCTTGATCTCAGGGTTTTGGGTTTGAGCCCCACATTGGGTGTAGAGATTATGTAGAAATAAAATCTTTAAGGGGCACCTGGGTAGCACAGTCAGTCGAGTGTCCGACTCTTGATTTCCATTCAGGTCATGATCCCAGGGTCGTGGGATCAAGCCCGACATCAGGCTCCTCACTGACTGTGGAGCCTGCTTAAGATTCTCTCTCTTCCTCTACTCCCCTCCCTTGCTCACTCACTCTCTATATATGTAAAATTAAAAAATAAAGTAAAAAATAAAATCTTTAAAATAAGGAAAAAACAAGCAAAAGTGCCTTGAACTCTCATTAATGCTTTCTGAGAACCCTGGTTGGTATTTGGTTATGTAACTATACTGAACAGTAAGAACTTTGGGCAAGATTTATCTCCCATTTCTTTGAAAAGTGCCCAAGAGGCAGGAGATTTTTTTTTTCTTCTGAGTGAGGACAAATGTCACCTAAAGAATTCCCTGTGTTATCACAGGAAACCTTTGGAGTCTTAGTGAAGAGTCTTGTTTTGCACATTTTTTACCAAAAAAAAAAAAAATGCTAATTATTGCTAAAACTCCCCCAGAGACATTCCACTTTCGAAATCATTCCTTTTCTCTAATTTAAGTTTATGAGTAAAAAGGTCTACTCTCTCTAAAAGTTTGGTTTTGAATGTAAAGGAGGCCAGGTTGCATTGGGACTTATTTTCAGGTGATTTGCAAAATTGTTGGTTTGAAACTCAGAAACTAAGGGCACTATTGAGCATAAGAATAGACTCGAGACAGCAGTGGAAGACAAGGGTGCTCCCCTACTGAATGTTGTCCAGTCTTGAGGAGAGACACTGTAACGCAGTATCTAAATTCATGGGCTTTTGAGCCTAACCAACATAGGTTTGAATCCTAGAACCACTGTGTGGCCTTGAGTAAATTCTTCCTCTCTCTGAACAAACTTCAGTTTTTTTTTCTTCTGTTACATAGGATTAATAGTATCAGTCCTGGGAATATTAGGAGAAATATATTTATAAATAGTAAATATTTGGGGTGCCTGGGTGGCTCAATCG